ATCTTCAACCGCAAATGAGGCTGTGGGTGTGTAGCAGCCTTGACCGTCATTGCGTACGTAAGAAAGTGGCACATCAAGCCAATCCCAAACTCTCGGGGGAGGTGCTTCCAAGAAGCGTGGGGTTTCTTCATATGTTACGCTCAACAAAATGACAGCTTAGAATGCCAAAGGGTCTGAAGGCTAAGGCTGTAATTGCTGCAAATGGAGAATTCTTTGACAAAAGCAAAGTTTGAAGGACAAAATTATTATTTCAAATAAAAATCATTATTTCTAACCTCGTCAATGTCTTGACTATATTTTCTATTCATTTTGCAACTCAGATAAAAATTAATCTGTCTGCGAGGCTCTATTACAAGTTGTGTAATGATGGTAACTGACTTAGAAGCTAAAGAATTGATTTAAGAGAAGACAGGTATTATCAGAGACCTTCAATGTCCTCTGGATATGACCTGCATTATCTTGGTTCAACACCAAGACTCAAAAAAGATGGTTAAGAGGTAAATATCTTCTGGTTTACAGACTTCTTCTCTCTGTTTAATTTGCTTATGATGTGTGGTTTAGGAAACACACTGAGCACTTCAGGGTGGTATCACTTGGTGTCTACTCAATGTATTCATTCATTTGGTAAGATTAAACAAGGATGCAGTGTAAAAGTACAGAATGCATGACTGGAGCGAATCACTTTAAAAAAAGTGCTGTGTTGTTGTAGCTATGAGAAACACAGAACAAAATATTTTATTCATGTGTTGACTTAGCTGTGAAAGTTAGAACATCAACAGGCTTCTTCCAGATATGCAAATGTACTGCACAGTGACATACAGTTACCATATTGCCTCCAGCACACACTCATGCAAGCCACTTAGAGCTAAGTGCCAACCAAATAGCATGTACAGTATCATATCCTAAGTAGTGATGAATGCAAAATGTATGATCAAACAAACTACTAGCCAAAAATCCAACCAACCACGATGCTGATGCTGTTTATATAAAGAAAAACACATCCAAGCTCATAAAACCTCATTAATGCAGTTTCACCAGATCATTAAGACCCAATGAAACAGACTTTAACCTCCTGGAAAAAAGTGAATCTCTCCTTAAACAATATTCTTTTAGTTTATAGTTAAATGATCCCTAACAGTGTTCCATCCCAAGTTAACAAACACAAACAAGAAAACAATTTGACACAACACTTCATTGAATCCTCTAAGCCCAAAATTATTACTGGCCTCTGGGTTGGACTCCATATCATACTGTTCCTACTTTAGTGATCAAGAGCACATTAATGACTTTACAGAGAGAAGGGCCTGACAAACAAAATGACAGCTGGCAGAGCAATAAACTGCATTTTATTCCACATTTAAAGGGTGACTAATACCTTCTCATTATAAACTGCTACATGACATTTAAGACTGCTACTTGATGAGACCTTTTAGGAAGTAAATCATCCGGTAGACGGAGCAGAAACCAGCCTGTTTAATCACAATGTGAGTTTTCAGAGGCATTGTCTGGATAGTTCATTGCACTAGACATTATAAAAAGTATCACTGTCAATGGTGAATGGAGTTGACAGCTGTCTAATATGATTTTATAGTGCAACTGGAAAGAACATTATACATGATAATGAAAATGTAGTCTTGCACTTTGCTCTAGTATGTTTCTAATTAAAATCTGCTTATCTTTATGTTCTGCATAAAATGTAACTGTAATCCCCTTTTGTGACAAATGTGTTTTTCTTTTACTCTAAGTGAGCAAAGAAGCAGCTTACTGTCAAGATCAGCTTATGTGTGCTATTGTTCCATTAAAATCACATCAGGAAATTGCATTTTCTATGATGACATGCATTATAATAGGACATCGTGAACGCCTGCTCTGAGAATGATATTAGCTATAAAATAGCCCTTTGAAGAAGATATGTCTCAAAAGCTTTTAGCATTTGGCATCTATATCTTTTCCCCAGTACAACTGCTTCTCTGTTTTATAATGGGATCAGCAGTGGCTTTGAGGTTAGAGAGGCAGCCCTCTGACTGTAAGGTGTCAGGATCAAGCCCGGCCTTAAAAATAGTTTGGCTGGAGGTACAGTCACACTGTCTACTACTACTGGCTACACAATCTTCAATGTCAGTGTACTATAGGCTATATTTTGTTAAACTGTGAATTTTTGCACAGCCAAAGTACACTATAAATCCCAAAGCAAACTGCTGGTACTGGCTTCTGTATGGGTTAAACCAAAGAAATCAACAATGAGCTGAACTGGAAGATAGTTTGGCAAACTGAGAACTGAGTTTTGGCTTGACTGGAATGGTCTTTGCATGTGTGTAGGTGTGTGGGTGTGTGTGTGTGTGAGTGTGTGGCTGTGCTGACAGGGGTCTGCATGGGCTGCACAACCACAGTCATGTCACAAAAACCAAGTGTTAGCTTCGCAGCATACCTGTGAAATAATGAACAGGAGTCTGGACTGGGGCAAGCATGTAAGAGCTTATTGCCGTACTGCAGCCAATGCTCAAAAGACTTTCAAAATCCAATACTGCTTAGAAGGAGAAAAACGTATTTATGCTGTTTGTGCATGTGTTGTTGTTAATTCTTCTTTTAATATATGGTAATAAAATATCAGTAAACCAGCAAAACAATAAAATGCAAACAACCAGAAGGAAGTTAATTAAGCTGCTGAAATGATGTCGACTGACAAAAACTTAAATTAACAAAAATAAGTTATTCATCAGGCGAAAATACCCAAAATTTGCATGTTTCTCAACTGTGCAGATTTGCAGTTTTTTTATATCACAATAAACAGAATGTATTTGGCTTTTGGACTGTTGGTCAGACAAAGCAAGAAATGTGATGTCATCACCTCAGGTTTCAGGGTGCTGAAATGATGCAAATTTCTCTCAGTTTTTCAAAATTATTAATTGTTCAATTAAAAAACTTTCTAGGCTATTGTAGAAACATGGTGGTTAAACATGTCGGCTTCCATAGAAGACCCGTTTCTCTGTAGATAAAAACGTCTCATTATAAGCTAACAAAAACACAATAATTCTTATTTCCAGGTGATAATACACGAATAGATTCTCTTCAATTTTACACACTGAACCTTTAATTTATAAAAATAATAAACATTAGTTGCAGTGAAGATCTTTAAACCTTTAAATGCATCTGGAATACAACATTTTTTCCAACCAGTGCCTTCTTGCTTTAATAAATATCTGAATGTGTCACCACCGTGTTTTGACAACATTTCTCAAAACCTCTCAAAGAAAATCTGCTTAGAGAATTCTCACAGGATGATCACTAAATTCTGTTTTCACTGAGCTTTGGGCGTCCAAGCAGCCGTCCTCAGCCAATACTGGTAGCAGCCAGAGAAAATAAGTCCCAAATGCCAATAGTATTAGTACAAGTAGTACAAATGGAGCCACAAATTGTTGGGACAGAGCTAATTCCTCTATTACAAACCATGACGTACTCCAATTCCCACATACTGTAGCTCATTTTCTGTAGAGTCCTAAGTGAGGTTAGTGCTTAAATGTTGATACGTTTTGAGAAAGTGAAGGAGAGTGAAGTTGTGACAAATAAGATACAGTGGATGTGCTGCATTGGGAAATTAAATTGTGTGTGTGTGTAGGGGTTGAAAAGAAATTGAAGAGGTAGTATAACAAGGGTGTGACAAAACAGCAGACAGAACATCAGCATTTTGATCTTGACTGCTCTTCATTACCGGGTTACAAGAGATCATAAGCAGTAAACTGAAGTTTGTAAGGAGGTATGACCATGTGTTGTGTGTGCTATTGTATTTGTGTTTATTTCTACAAGAACAATTAAAATGTATGGTGTATACCTAACAGTGTAGCTGATGAAGGGATGCCTAGAAAGCCAGATAGACTGCTAGATAAACAAAGTTAGATGAAGGGATGGAACAAGAGAGATCACTCATGTTTGCAGGTGTGACCTGCTAAAGGACAAACCTCTGAACTGTCGAATCATGTTCTGGTGCTTCTCCAAGGCATCCTGCAGGATTTTCTCAGCAGGGTCCATCTTCCAGCGCCACTCTGTGCCCACGGGGTTGGTGTGATGCCTGTTAGTGGGGCACACGGAGAATCAGATAACAACAGCAGACATACTGTAACCACTCAGTTAGGAATGATATACACTGGTTCAGTGCCTGCTGGAGGACCAAGAATCAACTGACAGCCAGTATCGCTCTAAGGCATTACTCGGATTTAGATACGCCATTAGACTGGGGTCATCTGACACAAATAACAGCATTAAAACATATTTCACTAGATTGAGAGGAGCATCACTCTAACAAAGTGACACATATCAAGACCAACAAAGTTTATTCACAAACTAAAAGTGAATTATGAGGGCCACGCGTATTCTCACCTTATAAAAACATAAAGTGAAACAATATATCCTACTGTTAAAAATTGCACCTTCTTTGGGTGTTAATAACACCCCCTGAGTGTCTAAGTGTGATGTCTAGGTGCAACAAGACATCCTGAGGCATCACAAATTTCGCATGCATATGCACACACTCACACCACACATGCTGGCCTCACACATCAAATCTAATTCCACCTGTTGCTACAGAGAGGTGGATGGAGAGGGGAGCTGCAACAATACATCTGTGCCCTGAAAGTGCTTACTCCCTGTCATCCCACATAGCTGCCTCAAGAGACACTTGCATATCTGTGGTGACAGGGGAGCAGTTCACCGCAGCACATTCTGACAGCGACCTTTCAGTGCTCAACACAGTCCCCTTTTTAAATGCAACTTGAGGGGAGTAAAAGGCCCAGTCTCTCACTAATGTCATGATGAATCAGTGTCCACCTTTAGGCCTCGCAGTTATGCTAGCCATTAGTCTTCTGCACGTAAATCATTAACTTGTTTGCCAAAGCTCAATGACAGGCAGCGATCTTGACTAACGAGGTAAACAAATTTGGTTTAGACAAGGAGAAAACAAAGCATGCAGGAAATAAGCCCCAAAGGCTATTACAACTCTAATTACCCAGCCTACATTTGGTAGGACCCACTATGGATGAAGTGACAATGTGTTATACTCCTAAAAGACATAATCTTTACCAACTAATTAAACTGCTAATAAAAAATAATAAGACAGCAGTACATAACATTTAATGTTTAAATCTATAAAATTAGTAAAGTAATGTAGCCAAATGGACAAAATATTAGGGGTAAATCTCTGCTGGTGTAATCCAAGATGTAGAGTGATCATTTTCGAGTCGCCAAAAAACGCCAAAGGCTTTATCTAGAGCCAGAAACTACAGCGATGGCGAAACACAGGAAAAGCAAAAAAGGCCCTATGGAGCTTGTGTTTGATTTGTCCATTCTGGGCTACTGTTGAAACATTGCGGTTTAACAAGGCGGCCTCCATAGAAGTGGACCCACTCCCTCTGTAGAAGAAAACAGCTAATTCTAAGGTAACGAAAACACCATGATTCTTAACATTATATTGCATTTCTGCCAACAGATCCTCCTAAATATTACACACTGGACCTTTATTGACGACCTGAGAGAGAAGAAGTTGAGAAGGACCAAAAAGAACCAAAGAACATTTGTGTTCATGTTTTCTAGCAAGGTTTTTAACACCTGAACTATTGCAGTTGTTTTTGACTTCAGGTACATACCTCCAGCAGAAGACACACTTGTTAGCACAGGCAAGGCTGGGAGTAGTTTCCATGCACCGGTGGGACTCAATACCATAGAAAGTGTGCTTGTAACAGCCTCCTCTCCCACGCAACATTGACTAACAAAAAGAAACAACACATTTAAAGTGATTCATGCATTTTGTCGAAAAAGTCTAATGCTTTATTGAGAAGAGTAAATTCTATTACCTTGGTCCAGCGACAAAGCTTTACTCCTGAGTGACTACCAATTAGTTTGTATCCTGCACAGAAAGAGAAATAACAAGATGTGAGAAGAATAAGGCTGTCACTCAGTAAACACTTTTTTGACCCAGTACCACATAGGCCAAATTCAGCAGATGATGAACACACAGAAAAGTGGAGATTACATTTTCTTTTAGTGTTAAACCAACAAAGCCCTGCTCAACATTCAGAGTCATCTTCATTCTCCTAGTACTCAACATTTCCAATAATGCAACTAGCAGCGGCTCAAGGGCACATCCACGGTAAGAAGGAGGGGATAGCGTTTCAAATTCCCTTTCAGCACAAAAGGAGGATAAAGTGTTTCAAATTCACTTTCTACACATGTCCGCCTCTCTATCCTCTTATATTACCGCAGTGTAATACCACTGGCTACGAATGGCCACGTTTGGGTGAGTCCTTGCAGGTCTCAGTTTTTTTTTTTCCACACACATCCTCCTCTGTGGTGTCTGTTAAAGAGAATATTTTTATCTGTATCACTTAATCTGCTGAAGAAATACCAGAACATGATATTGGGATCGCTTCTAGGGAATTATGAAGGGCTCACATTTAAAGTCTAAAGTCTTCTCTTTAAAGTTTAAAGAGGCATCAGTCATTTAGCGGCGTGAAATTTAGGTAGTAGCTTTTTATTATACTATTAATTATTTGCTATTAACTCTACTCCACTTCACTGTAGCTGAAAAATCTCATTAAAAAACAGCATGAAATTCATGTCAGAGTGTGCATGAGCTCTCATTGCTTCCACAGATCCAGAAGTTTGATGCTAGATGAGTCAAAAACAAATATTATTCATCAAGGCTGTTGAGAGTATATTTGTAGAAAAGGCTGAATGTTGAAAACACTTTTTAATTTACCACCTGAATAAAAGAGATTGCCATTGATCAAGGATGTTCTTTTGATACCTATAAATGCACAAACACAACGGCACATACACACACAGAATTCAATCTCTTGAACACCTAATGTTTGCTGTGCCTTTTTCTCTTTGGGGCAAAAACATGCTGACCAGCACCAAATTGTTTTTCCACCTGAAAATACCTTGAGAGCACATGTCCTCCTCTAACCTCGCTCCTAGCAACTGAAGACACATAAAAATATATAATCCCAGGCCAACAAGACTGAGGAAACTACGGTAAGGAATTGGACCTGCTGGCAGTTTATTCAACTATTAATGATTTTAATGTAAGCAACGTTTCCCCTCTTGTGTTTGTTAGGGGAATTGATTTCCAATGTCTTTGTGTCCTTCAGTGTGTCAGTGGAGAGGATCGAGCACAAGTGAGTGGGAGGTGGATGGAGAGAATAAGAAAGGTCTCTCTATTTCCCCTTTCTCAGTTATCACTGAGAAAGTACAATATGTGCTATGAATAATTGTACTTCGATGTACAGTACATCAATATTTGTAACAGAGGAAGGAAAAATAACTAAGATTCACCAGGAGGCCTCATAACAACAATAATAAAAGGTTCTGGAGTTCATGAGCACAAACGTTAAATGTGCAATACTGAAACAGATATTCTAGCAAATAAATTCTCAATACCTTCACCTCTTATTTTCTTCTTAATGAGACAACAACGCTCTAGTTAGAAACGTACTTTAAAATGAGTTTTTAAATGGTTATAAAACAATCTCAATTCAATACGGATGCTTCTATATGACCTACATCAGCTAGAAGACTGGCTATTTCTCTGTAATTATTTTAAATGCCTGCCACTGGGTCCAATTCGGTTAGATTCCCATCAATGAGATCAAACAAGGTGGTGGAAACACTACCGCTTTTGTCCACAGAGGTCGCCATAATCAACAAAAACATTAAAACATCCTCTCCCTGCTTATTTTATTTCCCTCAGGTGATACTCTTGAGTGGAGGACAAGGGTATCACATCTTAGAATATAATTTTGTACCCAAATTGCCTGGGCCAGCTTATTTTGTTTTATACCGATTAGAAGTCCTACGAGTAAGGCAGCAGCAGGCTACCTGTCAGTCTTCAGTTGATTAGCTCTGTTGGCAAATTGAAGGCGTCCTTAAAGAGTTGAATGAGAAGCAGGTGGTCACTAATATAATCATAGAAACAGATGTTTGAGTTACAGAGTTACAACTGTTTTCTGTTTTTAACTTTAATCAAAGAGTTGAAAAATTTGATTTGTTTTGTTTTTTTCCCCAGAATCTCACATGTACTAGTTTTTTAAGTACTCAGAGAGTCAATTATTCTTAGTTAATTATCATTAGTAAATATTCTGCTGCAAAATAACATTATTCCTATGTTTAGTGGGCTGCACAATATTGTATAATTACAATATTGGTCTTACATACATGGTCATGTAATATTTGTGTTATTAACAGATTAGTGTAAGTTATGATTTTAGCATGACAATTTTCTAGTAAAAAACTAGTAAAATCATGATGCTGTGACATTTGTTTGGGTCTGTAGAACATGATTTGTAGGCCAGGGCAACTCTGCAGCACTACAGTGTCTCATTATAATGCTTTTTTGTAACACATTTTACCTTTATCAAAAAATTACAGCTTCTGGCATTTGGTTATTGCACTTGGTCATTGCCATTTCTATAATATTTTGATTAATTGTGCAGCCCTAGTTTAATGCCACGCGTTCTTGTGAAAGCTTATTAACCTAGATATTACTGTGCTCACATCTTTACAGAGACCTGCTCCATCAACATCCTGGATCAGCACTCGATGGGCAGACCGTGTTCCAAGCTGACAGAGCGTAGGACGAGGAGAGGCGGACTCTGTTTACTTCAATGATGCTTGGTGCTCAAACACACTCAAAGTGGATGGACATGAAAATGAAACCATATTATCATCATCATTATCTTATTGCTTTTGTTTACATTCCCCCAGATGCAAATTAAAAAGATGCACTGCAGAGTTATTTCCTGGGTGTATACGTGTATGTATATATGTATATAAACTGTATGTACGGTTTATTTTACTTTATTTATTATCTGTTATTATTGTGTGTAGCATGAAGGGGCTGCAAACGTTTATTTCGTTATACAACCTTGTGTTGTATAATAAATACATTTTCATGATGATAATTTCATGATTTAAAACTCATTTGGTGACATTGTTGCAGCAGATGTGCCAGTTTATACATCACATAAAAATAACATAGCTTTTGCTATTTATTATAGTACACGGAATACATGTTCCTCAATCCATTACAATGACTGTTTCAACTGGTTGTCTGCTCTCTACATTTACTCTTTACCAGCAAAAATGCACATTTCAAAGAAACTGATTTTAGGTACGGGTACACGTTTCAGTCCCATTTGAAAACTCTACTCTCCCTTTTTGTTAAATGTGCAGCACTTTGTTAAAACTTTCTTGGGCATTACACAATAGTTCCAATAGATGTGTGACTTTTGCATCCATGTCATGCCAGAAAAGGGCTATACAGGAAACAGCCTTCCAAGACCCAATATCCTTAAAACAATGCCAAAACTTTCATCCTTCATTCTTTTATTGCAAATAAAACAAACCGTCCACGGGGGCTGACGGTTGCCAACATAAACGCCATGAAATAGGTCAACATTTGGTCAAATGAAGTGAAGTCTTGCTCACAGAGCCCTATTTATAGAGTGTTTTGTAAGCTAACACTGGGGGGGGTTACTGGTTGAAAATGACTGGCCTGTGCTGTACTAATGAATAGACTAACTACAGAGATAGTAAAATGTTTCAGACAGAGCTAATGAGTCAACAAAAACTAAGACTACAATATTTAATGAGAGGCAAACACTTACATACACATAGAACATATGGATACACTACATGTACACTAGAGGCAGTGAATAAATGCCTTTTTCCCCCAAATAAAACAGCCATTAAAAACAGGCCAGATAGAGAAAGAATTCTTCTACTGTGACGGCAAATAAGTTGAACAAACAGGGTCTGAATTAAGAACTTTATGAACACTACAATGTTGACACCAGCTAAGTTCTGTTGAGGTTTTTCATGTGGGAGGAGAGAGGAACGAAACTAACTCTTGGGACTGCACCCTGAGGACAGGCGGAGGCAGAGAGGGTAATTGGACTGCAATGCATCATTAAATGCCATTAGACAACACACACTCCCCAGCTCCACACTTCTCGTGTAGCACTGACCAATTTCTGCAGCTGATTAACTTCAACATAATCCAACATATTGTTCCTTCCTGTGTGGTATGCTGAAGTGATTAGCATTTGAGGCTAGTAAACAGGATACTTGATGAATTACAAAACATCTTAGGGGTAACTGAGGTAAACTGAGTTTGAGAAGGGACACCTCTATCAGTGACTTTGATCATGAAAGATACTTTTCAGAAAAAAAAAAGATCTAAATTGATCTGGCAATTTGCATGTGTTCGTTAGATTGACTGCTGAAATAAAAAAAATGACATGACTAATAATTCATGTTTTAAAGTGAATTACAACTTTGCTGCCCTTGTGAAAAGAGCAAGGTTAAGGATATGCTGACAAGCAGCTGGTGTGCTAGGTCTGTAATGTGATTTTTTTATTGCAAAGCAGTGCTGCTAGATAATATGAATATATTATCCACAGTCACCAGTGACACCCAGCAGATGTTCTTTTGGAAATGGCTACAGTTTCACACACCAGTCAAAGATTCAAAAAATTCCACCAACAACTGTCTTTTTCCTCACCTTGCTTTGTCAGTGCTTCTCTAAGGGCAGGGGTGATCATCTCTCTTCTTTCCCCTTCATCTTCAGTCTTCTTCAATCCATTCATCTTTGATAGCTTCACCATGTGACCGTCTCCTCCACCCTCCTGTTTGCTCTGTGGCAGACAAAAAAAAGAAAAGGAAAACTTGGACAGTGTCTATAACCACGATGGCATCAGTGAAAAATCAGGCTCAGCTGCTGTGTTGTGACTGGCATCTGATACAGCTATAAAATCATAGACTATAACGTCAGGAATTTTATGTTGAGCAAATAAATAAATCTAGCTACTCAATTTATGTTTGTCCACCTGATGCCAATAATTTATTTCACAGGGACATCATTTTACAAATGCATCAAACAAGAAGCAAACAAATAGACACTGTAAGGCTAGCAGGCTTGAAACTGATTAATATTAATTATTATGGGAGATTGCATTGCAGATATTTGGTTTCTTAACTGATAGGCATTGATAGTTACTATCATTTTCAACTTTGTCAACCATAAATACATTTAGGAGTCAGTTGTGCATCAGTGATGTCTCACCTCTAGCAATAAATGAACAGACGGGCAAACACAGCACTAAAGACATTACAAGTAAGATATTCCACACTGTCAGGATCCATCCAGGTTAGCAACAAGTCATTGGATGGCATTAACTCAAAAACGTTCATGTTTCCCGCAGAAGAATGCTGACAAATTAAGACGTATGTTAGGACATTGCTCTGCAACCTTGCCATTAATCACACCTGTCACTGCAATACACCTGAAGTCCTCAAATTCTGATACCGTGTAAACTGCTGCAGGATGCAAGAACAAAGCTCTGAAATGTCACAACTTCAACAGCAACAGAGAAGGTCAACAGAAACGGCACTGTACAATGACTTTTTTTTTCTTTTTAAACCAGACTCCAACAGTAGGACAGAGCATCCAGAAAAGCTTAAAAATCCTGTTTGAATATGCAGTAGCTGCCACGTGATTTGATGCTTAACATTTGAGTTAAAGTCAAGTTAAAAGCAAGAAAGAAAAAAGAGCTCCTCCAAAATGTTTGATGTTAGTCAGGACTGAAGATCAAGGGTTGCGATTCAGCAGTCCTTTAATGACTGTGTGACATAACCATTAACCACTGCAGGATCATTTTTGAATAAAGGGGCATCCTCCTGTACAGACAGTATTGGGAGATTTTGGTTTCAGGCCCTTCAGAGGTGCAGTGAAATGCAGTAACTCTATACCACAGCAGCTGGCTTTCTTGATGGTAAAGCTGCTGCAACCTATTTGTTTGAAAGATTTACAACTTCCCTCAGGCCAGGATTACATTATTGCAGTATACAACATTTGTATGGAAATCTAAATATCTTAGAGATATGCTGTTTACAGACACAATGGAAGATTGATTAAGTCCTGCTGGAAAAGTTGCCCAGTGCAAACGAACAGGTATTATTTTTCAGAGAGGCGTGACAGACAAGTTGCCTTTGAGATTAACCATGTTAAGTGACACCGCCACCCAATTACTGTAGTGCTGCCGCTGCTTCAGCTCCTCTATAGGGACCTATACGTCATCTTCTCAGCACAGCAGGGCTCATAAGGGGCTGATACTTTTTCAGCAAATGTTGACAAATGTTCGTATGTGTGTTTTCCTGAAGAACTGAGACAGTTCACTGCTTCCTGTGCAGCTTGCTGTAGGGCGCCAACCCTTGTTCATTGGCTGCACAACTCTAAATGCTATAGACATGTGCCAGTGAGTTGAAATAAAAACTCTGAGAACACAGAGGAAAATAAGCTCCCCTGGATCTGTGCATTTGGAGTCAGTGATCTCTAGAGCAGGCTGTGCTTCTTTTATTTGGAAAGTTACTTTGAAAAAAAATTAAACCTGCAATTGCTGAACATATAATCAATCAAATTGATATGGCAAACTCGTACACAAGAAGCAACATAATCATTTATTGGAAGTTGTGTTTCTGGCCACCTGATCATTGTCTCTTCCAACTCTTGAGGGAAATATCTGGTTCCATAGCTGCTAAATGCTCCACTATGTTCACCAACTAGCCACTAATTTTGTCTTATCTGCTGTTTGATGATACAGATACTTTAGGGATTTTTCTGTGGCAGCCAAAAACAATAGGAGTGAGCCAAAAAGGTTGCAGACCCACGGCTATATAATGAGCTGACACTCACTGTTAAGATGAGGGAAGCAGAAGATTCACACCAGGCAAAGGCAAAAAGCATTTTTCACAATTTACTTGCATTTCATGCATGGACTTGCGTAGCTGTGACATACTGCTAGTCAATTTCATCAAAATATCTGATGTGAAAAACATACAATGTATTAAATGGAATGGAATACAATATTCATTGGTTTGTTTTCGCCTGAAAATAATTTAAATGTGTTCTCATTACCTTAGAATGAACGTGTCCTCTTCTACAGAGACTGTCATGTCGAATTGCCATGTTTCTACAGTAGCCCAGAACAGACAAACAAAACAGGGCTTTTTGCGCTTTTCATGAGTTTCACAGCCACCTTAGTTTTGTCCTACACGCTTAGAAGGGGAGGATGAGGTGAGTTGGTTACAATCTACAATCTGACCGCTACCACTACATCCTACATACTGCTCTTTAACCTGCTTTTGGCATCCCATGAAAAAAAAGAGACTGAACCTCACGTAAAAGAAACTAGGTTCTAACATAAGTGTGTAAATACACAGCCCATGTATTGTTCATCTGATCATGACCCCAGGTGTGTCAGCAGAAACAGATGGGCTCTTAACACCTGACAATGGTGTACTTTCACCTTCCACCTGGAAAAATCTAAACCCATGTAGCTATCTAGCAGCTCTATCTGCTCTGTGCAGCTGAGGCCATGTGTGCCCACCATTAATGAGCCTCTGCCCCAAGTACGATAAAGATTCCACACTCATGACAGCAGCAGTGGTCCCTCGATGAGCAGCTCCTTTATGGACAGGGGATGCTGTTACTAACTAAGCGACCGTGCTGTGTCAGAATCCTCCCACATTTCGTTCCAAGGTGGAAAAGGATTTGGTGTTATGCTGAATGACATTTAGAAACCTAATTTATCTCTATGCAAACTATGGCGGGGTGCTGCTTTACTTACTAGGTGGTTTAAAGGATGTTATAAGCCATGCTCTGTTGCAGTTATCAGTGCAGGTGTACAGTAACACAATCAGTCAATCTAGGATAAGATCAGCCATCCTGAGGTGGCTCAAATAGCTGTTTAAGTGCGCCAGACTGGGAGTAAAAATTCTATAGCCTGCAATTTAAACCCAAAAATGGGATAAGACTGAGCCAGCACAAATGTCCACTCTCACTTACTGCAACCATAACATGCAAAATTCTGACAGCATACGCAACATGTAGCCAACAGTGCAACAATCTGTCCCTGTGGTGTGTTTGCGTGCAGACCTAGCGATTCATCTGGCCTCAGTCTCTGGTTCCCACTGCTCAGCTTTCACCCTCGCTCGAGAGCTCACAGACATCCAGTTATGCCTGGGCCTGTCTGGACTAACAGAACTGGGACATCTCACAGCACCGTGTTGTGCTCTGGAACCATGACACAACATGGGGCTGATGCAGACGGACAGTACAGCGATAACACACAGAGCAAACAGGTGATCATGGGACAAACACAAATGTACATGTGGGAGAGAGAGTACAAAAGAGAGGTATCACGTAGGAAAAGAAAAAGAAGACTAGGGTAAAAAATAAATACCCTAGCTAGATCGATACAGACTTTAAAGGGGAAAACGAAAATAAGTTGTTTTCATATCAGATAACATATACACCGATGCTGATATGTCTGCAATAGCCCAATATTGGTCAGTTGATATATTGGCTCTAACATAATACTGGAAATAAGAAAAGCCGTAAGAAACTTAAGTCACAGTTGCCTCAGTGCTGCACTAAGTTATTGATTTTACCCTATATATTATTATATTCATGAACATAATGTAACATCACTGCCAACCTCCATTAACTGACACACAATTGACCCAACACTAACTTTGAGGTAATACAAGTCCTTTCAGTCATAGTAGCATCTTCATCTCTGCTTTCTCCCACTAAGATGAAAACATCAAGACCCAGCCTAGAAAGCTGTGCGTCAGGTTAATGATCCGTTCCACACTAATTCCTATCTGGTAACAGTCCTACAGTATGAAATGGATCAGTCTGGCAGAAAAAGAAAGCTCATAGGACAAAGTTTGGCCAGTGCAATTTGTGCAAAAACAATTAGAGAAACAAAGAAAATAGCTTAATATAGCTTACTGGCATTTGGCAGAAAACTAATAGGACTACAGCCAAAGACTGATATAGACTAAGGTTGGGCAATATGAGCCAATCACAGCGTGCCTGCCAATCCATCATCGGATACATTTTAAGAAAAACAGGTGTAGGAAATATGTATCATCAAGATTAGCAGTGATCTACTCATTCGCATTCCTGCCTAGCTACAAGCACCACTGACATCAATACAGACAAATCCATCTGTGCCATATTTAGCTCCAAAGCCTTCTGCTTTTTATGGGCTGGCCTTAACAAACAGGGTTGGATGAGGTGACTTACTTATCCAAGTGAGAGCTGATTCGTGAAGAAAGTAAACAGCTAGTGACACTTTATTTCAGTAATTGTCAGATCAAAATCAACTCGAGACAGATGTTTTTTTGAGTGTAATGGGTTTGAGAGCATGAAATGCCACAACCAATGAAACTCTGAAAACAGCCTTAATCTCTGCATGGCCACGTTCAAAAACAAACAGACTGAACAATATCGTCTATTCATTTTTTTTCCTTGTGCCCTCAGTCTGAGATAAAAACAAACCATAAAAAAACATTCCTCCATTTAACAATACAATGACCTTTCAACAATGAATGCTACATGCTGGACATCTCTTGTGACTGAACTTTAAGGGAATATGTTTTACAGTCGGTTTAGTTAAGATCCAAGAGGTTATGTTAACTTCCAATATGTCCCATAGCATGTCTTCTGGGCCAAAAACACCCAGACAATAATGTGGTAGTCACTGTTGCCCAGATCTGGACATTGGGTTGCTTATCCACTAAAACATTGATTCCTATAAACTGGAAGTGTAAGCTTGCCTGCTTCTCTAGGGATTTGTGGGTGGAGGAATACGTGGGCAGCTTGCCCGTTAAAAGACTTTGATAAAGGACTGGAGGACCACTGGGACACTGACCATGCTGTATACAGTAACTGTATTTGTCCTTGCAGTTTAGGACTTGTGGAGTAACACATCTCTTCTTTGTCTTATCCTCTAATTTGTCTTGTTTTAAGAGTGTATATATTTATACATATAAAAAGTACACGCTGTTGCGGGTTATTGGTGTCACCCTTGCACAACCCCTTGTTATTTGTATTTCTGTTTTGTTGTTTTCGTTTATGTCATCTTGTAACTTCACAAGAGGCTCAAGACTGACCACTGGACTAAAGGAACAACATCCAACAAGATGTGATACAAATTAGTAGCAGTGAATTTGCTGATGTTTACTGTACTGTTCATTTATTGCCATAGTCCTAGAGGGTTGTATAGATGTACTAAATATGACCAAATTGAGTGAACAAATATGATCAAACATTGCCATCACCAGTAAGAAACTGTACCAACTTGTACTTAAAGTATATAAAATCTCACTGATGTGCATATATAATGAATGTAAATAGCTTGTGAGGAAAATGACAGTGTGGTGTTAAATGTCACACCAGTGGTTCATTCAAAGAGTTGAGCTGCCTGCAACTGAGAGACTCTGCCATCACCTAGTGGTCAAAGACATCATAACTGCAGGCTGAGATATAGCTCAAGTACAACAGAAAACTAGCTGGGAACACGATTATCCCCAGCACTTTGTTTTTAGTACTGCACGATATTCTGCAATATTCAGCTATTAATTGGGAGTGATATGAAACAGATATTAAACTTCTGGACCTCCACTAGCTCTACACTAAATAAGCTAACTAACATATTCCTGTCAGGGGAATTTCCTCGTTCACACTTAATTTGCAGCTTGGCTAAATACTTGTCGTCTCTTGGCAATAGCGAATGTTTAGTACAAACTAATTACATCTTTCACTGCCTGCTCTGTGTGACCAAATTATGCAAAAACACTAATTTGTTACCACAGACACATCGCCAAAGCATTCTGACATCCAAGGGTGATGATACCAGTCATAATTATACTTAAATCTTACAAGACAAGTTAGTATTAGAATACTTTACAGTAGGTGAAATGGAAGTCAATTGGTCATCGCAAATACAAATGGGAATATCCTCAGGGGAAAGAATGACAATAGGAACACGTGGCTTCCTCATAAAATACATAAAATCATAAATGAAAACACCTCATGCAATTTTTAAAAAGAAGTCTAGCTCCTTCCACTGTGGCAGACTTAACTGTGACGTATAAACACACCCATGTAGGGCTTACAAAGAGGCCTGTCCAAACCTCACAAAGCTGACACACAATATACTGTAATATTTATGTCTCACTAAAGGGGACAAGCCTTGGAGAATCTGTTGTTAAAGTCGTGTTACTTGTCCGCGTGAGACATGGGACACTGCAATCTAGCACTGGTAGCACAACATTAACTTTGTCATTATGGCATTATGCTTTCATGAGAACAAAATGTAGGAACCAGAGGCTCCAATCAACTGCAGCATTATCTTGGCCATTCCCTTGAGTTACTGAAACACACACAAAAATATTGTCAGACGCAGAAGAGAACACGTTCACTCACTTTTTTCTTTAGAGCTAAAAAGAGGCTAACAGGTGGCAAATCCTTCTCAGAAGTTTGAGTTGAAAAGCTTCAAAAGCTATTCATGTTTGTTGTAGCCACAATGTACAAATACTACTACGTTTTACAGTAAAGAGCAGAAATGAAAATGTAATGATCCATAAGAACATCAAAAATGAGTGTTGCTGGCATTGTTGTTAAAAGGGTATCAGGTATTTTTCAACCTGGACTTCATTTCACCATGTTTTTGTGTCAAAATGACTAATGGGTACAACACATTTTGAATTTGTTCCAGTATTGAGTGAGTGCTGCAGCCTGTAGCTGTGAAACAGGCTTCAACGTAATCCTTGAGGGCTATCGCGCACCATACGTCCATTAAAAGTGCTTGTTTTTGCTACTGATGGGCTCAGTTTGTTATTATAAATGACTGGCAAAACAACTGTACAGAAAAATGATGTTTTCTGTACTATTCCCTTGATTTGCTGCGTCTCTAACCAGGTCTCGCTCTAAGAGAAGTCTTGTTTTAAAACCTTGGGAGAGATGAGGTGACGTGTTGCAGGAGACAACAGTGGACCAGTGAGTGCAGTAACGCCACCCGGGAAGAGTTTGTTGTACAGAAAGAGTAGCTCGGGTTATGTAAACAATGACATGGCTGAATGCTGCCAGGCCAAACACAGCAAAATGAGAAAATGCAGGCAGAGGGCAGATACAGACACCACCATACACCTCTAGTGGGTCATAAGTGGTGATAGATTGCTTTTCAGAAAATCCTACTCACTCTGCCTTTAAACAGGTGCATTAAAAAGAAAATTCCCCCTTCCTCTGTGGAAGGCTTTCATTTTTCCAATTTATTAGATTTTTGTATGTAAGATGGAAATATCGAGCAGCTAATCTAAAACGTACAAGACGAGTTCCCTACAATGATCTGTACCTTGAATAAATTTTTTCCTTCTCTCCCTCTCACAGCTCACCTTCTTATCCTTACACTACAGCCTATACAGGACTGATAACGTCTCTTCTTTTTCGTTTTTTCTGCTTTTCTTGAGTCACTGATTCCTCACAAGTCTGTGAAGTGGGCGTCCTCGCTCTTACGCAAGCCTCCGCTTCTCGCCTGCCGGGGGTCTGGTGTCTATCAACCCATCTGCCACTGCTCCTTCAATGACAGCACTTTTCCTCCTTCCTAAACACACTTACATAGGGCTAACGTGGTGGAAGCTTAACGCCACGATGGTGTCCGCTTATAGACGTTAACGCTGAAACGCTCAAAATAAACCTGCTGGATGATGATTGGCACTCCAGTCTGAAATGATTCAACAACTACCTGCCTGTAATACTGTGACGCAGGCAGCTGAGTACTGTATATCTAACTCGTGTTACAAGTACAGTATGCGTTATTGAATGCTCATTTTTTCTTATTTGCCAGAATGCAGCAGTAGTTTTCTGAAGTTAGGGAAAGGGAAAGTGGCTTTTGTAAAAGATCATCAGATAACTGAGCTGTAAATAATATGGCCACTTGTGTGGTGCACTGAAAAAGATACGTATATATATTACTGAAAGTAGTGTCACCATGCTGGTGGACAGAGTCTGACCTTGGCTTTCTTGGCACTGCTCATGATGTTGCCCAGATCCTCCATGTCAACCACTGAACCTGATTTTTTCTCATCTTGCAAGCCAGACTCCTCCTCATCGCTGCTGGACTCCATCAGATCCTCCTGGCACAAGAAAGAAAAGAAAAGAAACCCCTTTAAAAAAAAGACGATCAAGGACACGGTGACACAGATGATCGAGTGAAAAATGTAAACGATCCTCTAACGTAGAGAGATTCCAGTTAAAACCCATAACCAATTAAAGATTTGTGACTACTAAAATAATTAAATGAGGGAGCCCATATGGAGCACATTTATTGTACATTGTTATCCCCTCTTGGGCCGCCTAATTAAATAAGAAAAGCCATATGCGTGTTTACGGCGTTTCAGAGGATTTATCACAATGCAGTGTTGGCACTTCGGCAGGATGGAGTGCACAAGTGGTACAGTGGGTAGATAAATCACGGCGATGATCCCCTCGCCGCGGTTCTCAGCTACTCTTGGTTCCGGTTGAATGTCACCTCTGCTGAGTGCACTGAGTGTTACAGACAGAGGGGAAGAAGTCTCAGCTAGATTTGGCTCTGAGGTGCCTGCTACCATGACAACTGGTCATCTGTGTGTGCGGTGATGCGTATGAAAGCTGTTTGTGTTTGTGTGTGTGTGTGTGTGTGTGTGTGAGTGTGCATATATGTCTGTGTTTGTACTTTCCTTCTTGTGAAAATTTGATTGGTGGAAGGAAAGTGCTATTTTCATATTCTGACATGATGGACAGTGCTGACAGCGATGAAGCCATGCAGAACATTTATAACACCATGCTTACCCTTGAAAATAAATCAGTGCTACCAAAAAAGGATCTGATAAACTGAGAGTAACACTCCTCCTCCTGAGTCCCGCTCTGATTTTAATCACATTGCTGAAGTGCAACATGAGGCCATTAGCACATCCAGTCCACTTCAGCTTCCTGTGATTTTGTGTGTGCCTTTGTAATGTTGAAAGATGACATCATATACCAGCTACACGTGTCTTCAGCCTTTTTTCCTTTTATATTCACCAGTTATCACCTGCTTAGTTGTATTCTGAGTCAAGAGGGGCAAGATGGAGTCTATTTACAGTGCACTGGGCAAAATGTAAGGTTAAAGTTGACTGATGGTGCATGGTGAATGAATGAAATGTATGTACTTAAAGCTCCATTAAATCATTTTTCTACCTACCTTAAATAATAATAAAATCATTTTTATGCTACACTGACTTGTAATAGGTTGAATGGTGCCTCTGACATTCCCACTATGCACTCCGTACGCCTGTTCTCACACTCCGTAACTTTGGTCTCTGGGTCGGGACACGTGCGTAACACTTTACAGCACTAAGTCACACACTAACAAAAATGTCACTTATTTTGGTGACATTGGATCATATTTATGGAGAAAATGTTTTCTGGTTAAGCTTTCAGTCGCAAGAAATTCGTGAAATCTAAAAGGTTTCCATTTAAAGGCAGTTTTTGTGCCTTTTACTAGTAATTACAGTTCTTTTTAACCACTAAGTTAACCTACTGCCCCACAAGTAAGTCAACTGTTCTCAGTGTGCCATTATAAACACTGCTATAAACTCATTACCTCAGAGCTGTTATTCTGCTGAGCTTCCTTCTCCTTCTCCTCCTCCTCCTCCTCCTCGTGTCCCTCTTTCCTCTTGTTCTTACAGGAGCCTCCAGTCTTACAGTTCCCACTGCAAGTCTTCTTCTCACCCTTCGCCAGAGCCTGAAGGCGGTTCAGGAACTTGACCTTCCAGGCCAGGAAATCTGCCTGGATGCTGCCATTACGACTCTTCACCACATTGCAGTCTCCCTCTCCCCTGGTTATGATTCGCATGCCACTCAGCATCCACAGCCATTTGTCCACGTTTTTACCCACCTGGTGAGGCAAAAAGAAAACTGGGTCAGAGTTTAAACATATAAAGTCTGGCTGTTTGTAATAGTAACTCAATGCAACCTTGTAGCTTCTAATATTCTTTGAATAACTCATTGTGAAGCACATTATCAAGCTGTGTTATTATTCTGATAGAAGTCATATGGAAGCCATTTCTTACTGTATTATAGTGGCCAACATAGACAGAGTTGCCAAGACCAAACACTGCATATCTGAGGCCTTTGAGGTAGGTCTTCCCGTATCTGAAGTCAGTGGACGCCTCCTCCAACCACTTGCAGAACCACTCAGCGTTCTCTGTGGGCTGCCCGTCAGTGTAGGTGGCCACAAGAAACACGCAGACCGCCTTGTTGGTGCACTGAATGGAGATAAACAGACAAAGAGAGACAGTGACACAAGTACCGGTAAACATTTCATTAAACACACAGAAGACGTATTTGTAAATGCAGGTGTCTTGATCTGATACCTTTTCTTGGATACTTTGAACAACAGTAGTAAACCCCTTGTTAATTTGGACTTAGAGAACAAATGTATCTAGTAATCGATTTCTGACAACTACAAAGCAGAATGGACTTGTACACTGACGGGAATCCATAGTCAAACTAACACAAATCTTGGAAAGCACTAGAGCACCGTGAACAATTCGCTCCAGGGAAGACAACTGGCCAATATGTTTTCAGCATATAATATTTATGGAAATTATATGATGAATGGTTATACAAACACACAACTGATTCTGCCTCCAAGACTTAAACAGACAGAAGAAAATAAATCCAGAATACAGGCACAGCTGCAGTTTCAAAGTTCAAGTTTTTGCGCTGCAGCGAAGTCGGCCAAAGTTAAAGCCACAAGCAGGAACAAGCGGGTTACTTCGGCCAGTTTAATCCTGTTTAAAAGGAGTGAGACCAATCACATCACAGAGCCTGCAGCAGTTCAGTCATTGTGCACACAAAGCCATTCATAGTAGAATAATGTGTATACTAAATATGGTATAAAAATAGAGAAATGTTTCATATTTTGGGCTTTAATTACAGCGCCACCATAAGGCTGATTGGAATCATTTAATTTCTAGTTATGGTGCAATGCTTCAAGTCTCTAGTTCGTTCCAGCGCAAAGAAAACTGAGAAAATGTAGATAATGAAATGGCAGATAATGATTAATAGACCAGAATGATTTCAGAATTTGGTTCATACACTTTTCTAGAGCTTGTGAACCAAAATCTGTCGACCAGGTTTTCAGATACATGTTTGTGGCGCCCCCTATAGGTCAGGCTTAAATTGCTTCAGTAGACCTATTTAACAAATTTCCCCCCAGGGATCAATAAAGTATGTCTGATTCTGATATTTCCAATTTGTCTGCAGATATCTAACCAGCTTTATGACTGGACAAATTATTAATGAGTAATGTCCAATGCTGTATACCAAATTTGGTATTAATAAAGTATCACAAAAATCTATCTATATATATATATATATCACAATATATATCACAATCACAAAAGTAAATGTTTTTGTAGAGAACACTGAAGGGAACTTGTGTGTCACATTTCAAGTCAATAGGACTCACTGGGTGGGTGTCCCTTTCCATTTTTATTTTTGTAATGTGAATTATTATAGCGCCACCGTCTGCCAATTGCAGTCATTTTTCTTGTGAAGCACATGCCCACATCATTTCACAAACAGTTATCGGGCTACGTTTCATGCCTCTGGCTCGTTCCAGCTCACAGCAATTTGAGCCACATCAGCAGACAACAAATACTAAGAAACCCTAATGAAATCTAAAGTGAACGCACATCGTCTCCTTGGCTCTGTGGAAATAAACAGAACACTTCAACTTGTTGAAACAAACCGTGTCTTCTTGACTGACGGCTGGCCAGTAAGTCGGTGCACCGAAGATCAGCTGCATCTAGGGAGCGACTGGTGCCTGCGGTCATTTCTCTTGAGGAGAGTTTCCATCACTACAAACTGTATCACTGTCCAACTGAATAAATGGTTCTCCCCTGCTGTGTACCAGCCAACCAATCTCCTATTCATCTGTCATTGCAGTACACTGCGCCTGTGCCCACAAAATAAAAAGGCAACAGTGATGAAAATAATCCATCTTTCTTCAGCTGAGCCAGATTGGTGTAACACATCCGTCCTCTGTGACGGCCGTTTGAAGACTCAAATCGGTGACAAATGAAGGAAAGGCTGAGCTGGAACATTAGAGAACTTGAGGCTCACTCTACTGTTTGTTGTCAAGCTTTAAAAAACAAAAAGAGTTATGATTCATTTTACTTTGATTAATTCTGCTCTAATTAAGCCTCGCCTGTAAGTACACGTTGCCAGGTCTTATGTGATTGAATTTGCTTTCTAGAGATTTAATTAAACACCCTGAAGCAACTTCTTGGTCCAGTCTATACAGCAGGCTTATCCTCTTAACACAGCTGCAACACTTAATTGATGCATTAATGAATCGGTTAAATCATACAATGTCAAAATGTAAGCTTATACACTGAGGAGCAGCTCTGAAGTTGGTTTAGGTTCTTGTACATGGTTCTTAAAGGATGTAGGTTCTTAAACCCACATCGTCGTGTTCAGGGCCATTTATTTCTTCTCGTTGAACCGGACTTACCTCATCAGCAAGTTGATCGTCTGGATCGTAGTCTTTCATGTCAATCACCTCTGCTGGTACACCCAAGGCCTTCACCTCCTCTGACAGCTCTTTTGCAAAGGCCTGAACAAAGGAAGAGTCGATGCTTATCAGCCATCTCAGAATGGTACATTGATTTATGTGCGCGCTGCCAGTCTGTCCAACCTTAAACTCATCAATCGTGACTCGAATCTGCCTTTTGACTGTGTGTGAAACACTGATTTACAAAAGGTTTGCACATGGTTATGGTTTACTTTACTTCTATGTTTCCACTTGAAGCTCTGAATTAGATCCTAGTTTAGTGAAACTAGTGTTTGAATATGTCGACACTGTACCAGAGATCCAGTTTGGATGCGATTTTGGAGCGATGGTATTGTTAGAGGTGTTGTTACACTTGATTACGTAACTGCTTTTGGTGTTTTTTCTACTCCTGTTTTCAGAACGTAGTAGTGTGTCCCTACATTTTACATAACATCATCATAAATCAGTCACATTGTCACTATGAGCCCGTTTTCAGCACCAGTATCGGTACCTTTGCTGTTCCGGTTTGTGAGCCGTAGAAGATTTTAACCCCTGACACATGAACTACAGTGTCTCTGTCATTCTTCTTCGCAGCTTTGTAGACCAACGTGCCGACGTCTTTGGGGAAGCTTTTCTAAACACACACAGAGGAAGACAATTAATGCAAAGACAAATACACAGACAGGTGATCCTGCATCAGCCACTGACAAAACCCAGCTCTGTTAGAAACACAAACAGGACAATGTGTCTGCAACCACACATGAGTGAAGATGAGATATCAGCGAGGGACAATCCACCTTCTTCAGTGCCATCTTCAGTGAGAACCAGATGCCAAAGACAAGTGCAGCAGCTGAATACAGGTACAGCCTGTTGTGCCATACCGACATTAAGTAGCTCTCACTGGGACTGTGTGCATTGTGTGACACTGGAGGGAGACAACACAGAAAACACATCCTCTGTTTAGTGACAGTAACAATAATAAACATTGATAACGTGTACAAACGCAACGCAGCAACAGTAGAGAGAGAGAGAGGATTGACCCCGCACACATAACGTGAATTTAACGTGAATTTATTTTAAAATAAACTCACCTTTACTGTCCGAGGTAGACACGCGACTTATGAAGACAGAAAAGACTGCGAAAAAACTCAGCATCGCTGCAAGTGGTTGCTTATATTAAAAAAATACACAGTCCTCTTCAGCTGGTAGTGTGTACCACCATGTTGTTTGGCCGCTGAGCATGCTGGGAAGTGTAGTTTTTTTTTGTATTATTGACGTTACGCTCGAATGTGACTTTCAAAGTAAAAGTAGGGTGCCAAAGACCCGTGACTACTACGATACTGTATCGTGTATTAGACCATTGTAAGTTAATGAATATTTTATGTCCATGGTTTTAAAGACGCTGACTAATTTAAAGTTGTATTTTGAATTTATTCACCAGTAGTGTTCCAACGTCTGATTTGACGGTTTTAGAGTATTTTATTTTGAAAGTATTCACCGGAACAGTTAAGTTAGTTTTCCGTTAGTTAATACTTCCGTCGCCGGCCTATCTATCTATCT